CAGATATAATCTTTACTTCGTCGATGTGAAGCGTGCATTCAAGCTGAAGGCGGACATTTCGAACAATTTTTGTAATTTTTAAACTTATTTTTTATGTTACATTTTCATTTGCCTATTAAACTGTGTAAAATTTTCAAAGGCTTGTAACTCTTTAACCAAAATGAATCGGACCCATATTCATATAAAATTTTTTCCGTAGAATCGCATCACCTTTCATCTGCCAAAGTTTGTCATAGAGCTAATGAATCACCCTGTATAATAAGAAACAAAATTAGAAGAAACTCTGCGACTAGAGAATGATATGAACGAAAGTTCGAACTCCGAACCCGATTCAGTGGAAGAAAATAACAACAAGAACTAACCTGCAAATTTTACGAAATGACATTTTAAAACGTCAAATTATGACAACTTTACAACATAACCTAAAAGTTAATTTTTGATGATTTTGTGAAATTATAAAGAAAGAACTAATTTTAGTTCTTACCAATGAAATAAAATGTTTACTCAAATCCAAACCAATCGATTAATATCGATAACGATAAGATAAATCACCCAAAACGAATCAATTGGTCTTATTTTATCTTCAAATAAATTTTTTATCAATTCAAAGATAAAATTAAATCATTTCAATTCGTTCTTACCCCGAAAAGGCGTTACAACAAATATTTACCAATAACAAAAAAATTTATATTATTTTTGTAGATAAAGATAAAGAAGATGAATACCTGGATGGAACCAAAAACTAATAAACACCGATGGAGATCGTCTCCGTCGTTCGTCGAGCCCCGTTACCTTATAAGGCAAGTGTAGTGGGTTGCTTCTCAATGATGGCTTTCCACTCTCGAATCCACCGCCTCCTACCTAAAACGCAAAGTTACGATTGCGCTCGCGCCAACATTCAGTAACAAAGATGGTGGATAACCCAAAGACGAACAGTATTCAACGAGTACCAACTTAGTTCGTTTCGCGACGTCTTCAAGAATCAGTGTCTTTGCCGTCGATGAAGTCGTCGTGTGCGCGAGTTTGAGATGCATCGCGAATAACCAAAAAGAAATTATTAATTCAAATCGAAATCGTTTATACACGAACCCAAGATTAACAAGAAAATAATTAAAATAATCCACCATCATCTCGTTTAATAATAAACAACAACAAAGATGTGCGATACAAGTAACGCTTCTACGCAGAGCATCGCTGATTATTTGGCTCAGTTATTGAAGGACAGAAAACAACTGGCTGCGTTTCCAAACGTGTTCCTTCATTTGGAAAGGCTTCTAGATGAGGGTAAGTTATTAGTTTTTTTTTATTTAATGAGTTGTCAGTTTTGGGTTGTGGAATTTATTTCCGGGGGTTAATTTAAGGTTTGGTTTGCGTAAGTGGTGATTAAGGGTGTTTTTCGCGACATGCGGTTTTAGTTTTTAATGTAGTGACGTGAGCTTGGTCAGAGTAGAGCCGCCCGCGATGTTTCGAACGATTCTCGTTCCAGTTTTTGAGAGAGGAGGATTGCTGGAAGAAGAAGGTGTGGCATCTCTCTTTCTCATTCTTTATGACCGACGATATATTCTAGCACTGTCTTTTTTAGTTCCATGTAAAGAGTTCATCGCGATGGAATGTAGTAGGTAATGTCAATTCAACATTATAACCTAAAAAAAAATGACGTTTAAAATTAACTGTCATAAATGACATAAACATTCAACACAGCGTGATGGTGACGATATAAATATCGATGATGAGGTGACAATGATGATAACAATAATAGTAATAATAAAATAATTAAACGTCCGGATGCGGTTCGTCGTCATTCGGAATGTTATGTTTATAGTCGAGTGTATGACGAAATTTTCTAATGAAGCGGGCCACTTAATATTAACGATACGATTGAAGCTTGAATTAAAACGTTTTCTTTCTCTTTTCTTTAATAAGATGTAAATCGAACATTTTTAATATCAACCAAGCGAGCACTTACCGCAAATATCATTGAAAACCCATTTAAATGTCAGGATAATAAATAAAAGTTAAAAAATCTTCCACGTCGATGTTTCTTATTTTTAATTTTAAGCAAGTAATTTCGTAATCGAAAGGAATCCAATAAAATTATAAACGATAGTGAGAACGTTTTGATTCATTTCTAGGATTTTAGTATCGCGATAAACTTAACGTTAAAAATTAATCGAAAACTAATATACTTAAGTGACGTTTAAAACACAAAATTGACATTTGAAACGTCAAATGTTGTGTCAAAAATGTTTATGAATTCTTGAAATTTTTTTTAAAAATCGTGAAATTGAAGTAGGTTTTCTACTTTGGGTGATTACCGAGTTATGAATCACGCGAACCGATGACGGACGAGTGAGAAGAGACAAGTGTAAATGGTAACTAATAACAATGACATATCTTTAAAAGTGTTATTTTTATTTCTAAAATTTTTTCTTAATTAACGTTTTATTGAAGAGTGTTTACCCAAACGAAAAGAAACGTACTCGAAATTCTTTAAAAATCAATTATAAAAAGATGTCCGAAAAATCGAGATGCTAAAAATACACAGAACCACTTTAATCTTTACACACTTTACACTTAGGATTACTAGGAGTAAATTCAATTAACGTGTTTTATGCAAATTCGTTACGCAAAATAATTCCGACTGTTTTCTTATGGGGGAAGAGAGAAAGAAAAAACGTTTTTGCTGTTTACTTTTTGACGATTTCTCAATTATGAACAAATGTACAGTGGAGGACAAAAGTCTACGTACAGCATTGAATTATGAGGTTTTTGTATAACGTAATAATATGACAGAAAATTAGTGTTACGGTGTGATGATTGAATTTAGAGTTTATTCAAAGGAAATTCTTTGAAAATTTGTACTATGATACACCAAAAATGGATTCCCTTAAGGAATGTGTTCGCCAGCTTCATGTACAACATATCCTTACGTAACCTGCAGTGTCTGATCAGGAAGGGGATGAGAAGTCACTTTTTGATTTTCTCAGGAACTGAGTTGATCTTTTCCGTTCAGGGTTGAGCAGAGTTTTCTTTGCAAAGACACCTACTGTAGTCTCATCCCATCTAACGCAAAACGCTCGATGGGAGATGGAGTTTAAATCAAAAGAAAAATGAGAATAAATATATTCTTTATATAAAAATTGGTAAACCAGGCAACTAAAAACAAAGACAAATAAAAACAAGCATAAAACAATTCTCAGGAATTATAAAGTTTATATAAAAATACTAATTTTGTGTCCACTCCTCATTTGTTGCACACATTGGAGTGAATGAATTTCTCAATATCAGGAAGGTTTTTTTGTGACATCTAGATATAACTTCCTTGCAAAACATGATTCCATTTTCGTCCTTAAATTAATTGTTAGTGGTAGTAAGATTGGTCCCTAAGATTGGACATAGCTTTCTCTGGTCATTCTCTTCCATCGTCAATTTATATATATTTTTTAATTACATCTAAAATAAATAGAAAAATGGTAAGGAGGAAGTCCCTGTTTGTAAAATTTATGATAAACTTGTATTTGAGACAGTGATAATTCCAATTTTTCGTCAAATGGACTTCCTAATTTCTTCCACACTTCTACAGCATCATATAGAGAAGCACCTTTTTTTTGCAATTTATCAAGTCCCTGGGATATTGGATTTAAGATATTTAAGTAATCTTCTGCAGATCCTTTGGGATCAATATTCGATACTTTTTAGTATATTTGGTATATACAGGGTGATTCTCAACCTATATGCATAAACTTTGGGATTTACTCCTCATGACGAATAAAGACTAATGGGCGAAAAAAATTTGTAGTAAAAGATTTTCTGTTTCATAGATATCCGTGATATTTACTTACAAATCAAGAATACATAGAACATTTTAAAATAACATCACAGCAAGTGTTCGAAGTTATTTCCCATATTTTCTATGAATTGGGTTCCTCGAATCCACGATCTCCAGCTACCGCAGCCTAAACCAGGGTGTTGGCGGATTGTCTGTGCAGCAGCATGTACCTGATTTTGCAATATTTGCTCAGTATTAACTTACGTGGCGTACACTATGCTTTTTAAGATCACGGTGGCCAGGCCATTGAACCATCTCGACCATGTCGCCGATTATATTACTACAATTTTTTTCATCTATTAGTCATTATTTGCCATGAGGAATAAATCCTCAGGTTTATGCGTATAAGTTGAGAATCACCCTGTATTGTAGGATCAATTTTCTTCACATACTTTTGACAGTTTTTCCCATTGACTTACACGTATTTGCAGACAATCCACCATACTATTCCCACCTCACATCATCATAAAACTTTTTCAGCAGTATATACATTCTGGATTCGCGGGAAGGCAGGCAGCATTTTGACCTCAGCAGATCCCTTGTATTTACTTCCCTTTTTTAGTCAGCATTAGGGTCCTTCCAGCCATATTACCTTTGAGTCATAGACTAGAATTTGTCCTGGTTGTGCTGCCCTGATTCCACTCATGCGAATCTGGATATCTCCAAAAATGGATAACCTTAATGTTTTTAGGGCCACGTAGTCGCATAGAATGTGTTCCTCCTCACCGCATCCTCTGCAGATGTCGGTGTCACTTATTCCCATGTTCAGTAAGTGCTTCTGTAGATGCCAGTGTCTAGTGATTAGACCTATGACCAAACGTAGGTTCTTCCTGGACAGCCTCATAAATAAATTTGTTCGTTTAAAGTCAGGGTACATCAGATCCTCCTTGGCTTGGCGACATCCGGGTGTCCTGTCCCAGTAAGTTAGAAACTTCTTACGTGTTTCCTCTTTTTGAAGCTTTATTAAAGACCTTATTGTTGGGGCGATGAATAGTTCTGGCGATCTTGAAGGTTCGCCTGCAGCTTTCCTTGCCAGTTTGTCCACCATGACATGAAGCTTATTTCCCGAATGACCCTTTGTCCAGCAGATCATAATCTCATTGCTAGCGGCTGGCTCACAAAGATTGTTATGGCAGTGCTCAAGCAACGAGGATGAACAGCGATACCGCCCAAGCAAGAGGAGGGCTTGTCTGCAATCATTATATTATATTATTGTTGGTTCGACGGAATAAACCAAAGCACCAGAGCCAGTTTTCGTACGAGATCCATCCACCCATAATTGGAGAGGACAGTTTCGTCAGCCATGGATTGTTCTCCTATCTTTATTTTCATACGGTTGTTCGTATCTACCCTGCCATTCAGGAGCGGCTGTTTGCTACAAGCCTCCTCCCATAGCTGGCTAGTCGATTTTCCACATTTATAAAGCCATTTATCGTTAGCCGCTTGCAGCCGGATCATTGTTGCTATTACCGCCTCCTCAACGTTATAATTGAGAGGAGGAAGACACAGTACATTCTCCATTGTTGCTGTTGGTGTGGTTATCATCGAGCCTGTAACAATCGTTTTATTTCTAATTCTTGGCCATCAGTTTACGGCGACGTAAGTTAACATTGGACGTATCACTGCAGTGTATATAAACAGGGATATTTTGGGTGTTAAACCCCAGGAGGTCCCAACGGCCCTTCTGCACTAAGCGAACACAATTTATCTTACCTTCGATGTGCGGTCTCCAAGCCAGTGTTTAATCCAGGGTTAACCACAGATACTTCACTTCATTGGCAAAGCGCAAGGGAACTCTGCAAAGCCAGGGTGCTCTAAGGGTACCCAGCCTTCTTTTCCTTGTGAAGAATTTACCGACAGAGTATTGTCTCGACACCAGCGTTCGATTATTCTCACTCCAGCCTGTATTCGGTCACATAGGACGTTTTCGAACTTTCCGTGAACCAAAACGGCTAGATTTGCAATGTCTAGCATTTTTTAGCTGAGAGTTGTCTTACAAGGTTGTCCAGGGTGAGATTCCACAGCAGGGGTGATAGAACCCCACCCTGCGGACGTCCTATTATTATTCTGAATAGCATCAATTACACTATGGACGGCCCTTTTTGAGAGCATATTTAAAATCCAGTCTGCTATTGCAGGCTGGACTCCTTTGTCTCTAAGGACTTTATTAATTGTATGAAAAGCTGTCCTGTCAAAGGCTCTTTCGATATCTATAAACACTCCGAGAGTGAACTCTTTATAGTCCAAAGGTCTACCGATAACTCCTACGATTTCTTGTAGGGCCGTTTCTGTTGATTTGCCCAGAGTGTATGCATGCTGATTTGGGTGCAGGGGAAACCTTTCCCGCGTTTTTCTTATATATCTGTCACATAGCCTTTCAAGTGCCTTCCCGACGAACGAGGAAAGCCTGATTGGTCTATATGATTTTGGATCAGTGTAATCTCTCTTCCCAGGT